CCCCAAGGATTTATGGCTGCCTGGCCCACAGGCCAGGCAGGGTCTCCTACCCAGCAACAGCCTGACCTACAATAGGGGATAATTCTTCATGTTATAGACACTCATCAAAAGATCATGGAGAAAAACACCACCATCCCAGAGGCCCCGTTTAAGCAGAAATAGACGGCCTCCCTCGCCACAGCCCTCTCCCTGCGAAGGTATAATTCTTACTTGTACTTGTACCAATATCCATATCAGGCACAAGAGCAGCCTTTTGAAAAAGAAAACCCCACAGCCAAATACCCCTTCTTGTTACTGACTCCAAACGCATTCTATTACACTGATTTCCATGAAAATATGCAGCAGGGACTCTCTTAAGCTGAGGGAAGGAACACATATTCTTAAAAGCCCAGCACAGTCATTTGAGAGCCATTTGGTACATTCTGTTTATGCAGCTAAAATACACATGGGTGAAGAAACAGTACGGTTACATCAGCTGCACTGACTTTTCATTAATTTCTAAGGTGCCCTCGGCGCGGAGCCGCTGTTCCCCACTCCCACCCTGCCTCGCCCCTTTCTCACTCCATGCTCTGGGGATCCTGTCCACTGAAATTCATCAGCTCTTCCCAGGTTTCCATGGAAATCAACCAAAAGCCCAGTTAAGTTCCTGTAGGCCTGTAGCCCCTATGTGTTCCTTTTACTTAAAAAAAAAAAAAAAGATAGAATTGCTTTAAAATAAAACAATTTATAGTTAATTGTGATAAAATACACATAACATCAAATTCACCATCTTCACTGTTTTTGAAGTGTTCAGGTCAGTGGCATTAAGTACATTCCAACTGTCGTGCCACCATCACCACCATCCACCTCCAGACTCTTTTTTCACCTTGAAAAACTCTGTAGCTATGAAACAACTCCCCATACGCCTTTCTCCCCGGCCCCTGGCAACCGCCCTTCCATTTTCTGTCCCTATGAATTTGATTCCTCTACGTACCTCAGAGAAGTGGAATCAAACAGCATTTGTCCTTTGGTGACAGGCTTATTTCACTCAGCCTAATAGACTTCCCCTTACTTTTAAACGCCAGGAGAATGAGAGCCGTGGACTTGGGCTTCGTTTTAACAAGCACTTTCCTGAAATGTGGTTGTCTTCTAATTCAGCTAGAAGCTTTGGACATTATCCTCAGGGGGGTCCCAATCATGCATGAACTCTGAATTCTATTACAGTTCAAAGACATGACAAAATGTTTTGTTTGTTGGGAGATGTACCAGGGCCACCTGCTTGAATGCCACCATCCTCGCCAGGACCAGCTGCTGGGTTAATTACAGAGGTGGGCGGAGGGAAGATTTGGTTCAGCTGCTTCAGCCTCAGTTTCCCCATCTGTTTGTGCTGTTGGTCTCCGAGCTTTCCTCTGGAGGGCCCTAGAAGCCTAGGGTGCTGTGTCACCATCACCAGCCATCTTTAAGCGATGGGCCCTGCTGGGCTAAAGTGATTAATTTTTAATGGGCAGTCGGTCTGTGAGCAAATGGCTCCTTTTAGGAAGCTACATTAACCGCCAGGCCATAAATAGCTATTTGTCTTGCTGATTTTCAAGGGGAAATCTGGTGGCACCCTGGAGCAGAGGCTCTCAAACCTGCTACACTTTAGAAGCACCTGGGGGACTGAAGAAAATCCTGATGCTCAGGCCACCTGCTGTACCAATTGCATCAGAATCTCTGGGGGCTGACCCAAGCATCGGTAATTTTTAAAACTCCCCAGGTGATCCCAATGTGCAGCCATACTTGAGAACCAGTGTCCTGGAGATCTTTAGCTCACCTGCTTTGGAAAGGTAAGCCATATTTTTAGTTCCCCAATTAGTGCCGGCTTCTATTTCTAGCTCCACTCAAGATGAGATGAATCCCTGAGTAGCCAGAGGTCTTTCCCAGATGGCTGACGAATGGGAAGTAAAAATTTACTGGAAAATAACCAATAATAATAGCTGCCATTTACTGAGATCTTACAATATGCCAGGCACTGTGCCAAGTGCTGCTTTATGATAAGTGCATTTAATTATCAAAATGACCCAATGAAAAAAGGAGAGAGGTGAATAACTTGACCAAGGCCAAATTAGGTAATAATTGGCAGTGCTGACGTTTGATCCCGGCAGTGAACAAAACAAAGTCGCTGTGATCATGTAGCATACATTTTAGTAGGAGTGACAGCTGGCCATATGAATGTAGAATATGTCTGGTGGGGGTAGCACTAGGAATAAAAATAAAGCAGGGTGAGGAGACAGTGATGGATTGGGTGGGTGGTCCAGGAAGGCCTCTATGATAAGGAGACATGTGAGCAGAGGGAATCAAGGGAGTGACACATGTGGGGGGAGAACATCAGAGAAGTTGACCTCTGAGCCCCAAGTCTTCCCTTTCTGTCCCCACCCCTACCCCCATATGAAGGCAGCACTCTTCATCTTTCTCCTCCCACCTGGCAAACCTTCCTCTCAGATCCTTCATTAATATCCAGGTATAAGTAACTGAGAACAGGTTGGGGGTGGTGGGAAGGAAACTAGTATTTGTCGAGCATGACGCACAAGAGATTTTGCCAGCCTTCGTTCAGCTGACCTCATGAAAACAACCCTGTAAGGTAAGATGCTATTTTTTTCATTTTAGATCTGGGGAAATTGTTGCAGGCCCCTCCCCTCTGCCTGGCTTAGCAGGCAAGACTTTGTGTTCCTGGACCCCCTCATCTCCAAAACAGCACTATAGTAGGGGAGGCCCTGAAGGCGGGGACCAGCTGTTTTATCTGTCTGTGGTGCTCAGGGTAGATGCTCGCGTTAAAGGTGATGCACAAATGGAATAAAAACCTTAAGCTAAAGGAATGATTGATATGCCCATGGTGGCATTTCAGGAATTGACCGCCAGTCAAGAGGAGATTATTTTGAAGTTTGTCGGTCATGAGGATTGCCACCATGTTCAAGTTCAAGCCTCAGAAATCTAGGGGCTCCCTCAGGTGTGAGGTGTGGCTGTGGATTTCCATTTGACATTATCTTGATGCTTCTGTGTGTTAGCAGGGCTTCTTGGGCTACTAATCTCGCCAGAGGCCAGCCTGGCGGTCACACTCAGTGCTTTATTATATCTCTTCTACTTCCACTCTCAAAAAAATAGAGAATATTAATCCCAAAGCACTTCTGAGTAATGTGTGTAATAATAATGAATATTTGCCAGGTGCCGACTATGTGTTAGATACCACCCTGAGCTCTGTCCGTATTCCTTTATTAATATTTGATTATCATGACACTCTCACAAGGTAGGCCCTGCTCTATGGGAGGTCGTGGGGGAGGCTACTGAGGCAGGGAGGTCAAAGCACCAAGGTCACCAAGTCCCCCAGCAGACAGTTCAGTTCCCAAAGTTCCTCTCTTGCCACCAGCCACCCCATTTCTGCTCTTCCCCTCCCAGCTGCTTGCACACCCTCCCCTCACCAGAGGATAAGAATTCGCCCCTGTTCAGCTTGCAAAAGCACACTCAGAATGAAAGGAACTTCCTTGGGCTCCTTTCTCAGAAGGCTCTGGGGTCTAAACTAGCACCTTGGTTGAAAGTAACTACGATGGAATCAATAGACTAAGAAAAGTAAGAGAGAGAGAATGTCTTCATAGTCTCGCTTCTTTCCATGGATGAAGGATCAGGTAGAACTCAGAAAGGTGTGGCAGACTGTAGAGCCCCCAGATGGCTTAATTATACAGATGGCTGTGGGAGGGGTCTGGCACTGGGCCCCAAATTGTTTACCTCAAGGTGTTGGAAGTTCTACTCTCAGAGTCCTGCCAGCGGAAGTGGCCAGGTCAGCGGGGGACTCCAGCTGGAGAAAGACCCCTGACCAGGGTCTGGCCTGTATGTAGGAAGTAGCTGCCTATAGAATGCGGTAGAAGGAGCCAGAAAGCCCTGCTACCTCTGAACTTGGCTACTTGCCTGTCCTGGTGTCAGAAAGTCTCTCCTACAAAGTCATCGCTTTTAGTCAGAACAGTGTTTCCTGAAGTGGGTTCACATCCCAAAGATGCTAATGGGGGAGATAAGGGTGTGTGGCCAGACACCCGTGGGACAAGTTGGCAACAACCAGCAAGCTTATTTATAGAGTCTCAGGGTCTCCTAGACCAGGATTTATGATGCAACACTTGCCACCCCTCCTTGTCCACAAAACCATTTTTTTATTCTAGGCGCCTCTTGGGGACCAGTCTTTCTCAGGACATGTCATGGGAATACTACTGAGTAAGGTCCTTGTTAACACGTTTACCTGGGAGAGGAAACACGTTGACCGGTTAGCCCCCTGTCTTCTATGACATTAACAAACACTATACTGTCGTATGGCTCCTGCGGAAGGGGCTCTGTGTGAATGGACACGCACACTGCTGCCCCATCCCCCGCTTATCTCTGAATCCCTGACAGCAGGGACTAATTGGACTTGCTGTGCCTTCTGGGATCTGAAAGGCAGGGCACAAAGGCCCCGAGACCCACTCCAGCCCCTTCTCCAATGCTGCTTCTGTCAGGGTCCTCACCAGGCTCGTGGCTCAGTCACCCTGTCTCACCCTGGCCTCAAGAAGGGTCTTCTCTCCTTGGAGACCAGGCAGTCTGCCTGGGTCACATTATCAATCTGGGGCCACATCTTCTCTCAGCGGAAACAGTTCTCCTTCCAGGAAAACTGCAGGTCCTGATGCGTGCCCCACTTTTGAAGTTGCCCCACATGTGGAAAGGCTGCCCAGGACCCCCGCTCTAGGAAAGCAGGCCCCACTACGCAGGCTTGTTGACAGGTGTTTATTAAGTGTTTCCAGCAGGTCTGGACCTGTGGATGGTGCTCTGAGTCGAGGGACTGTTGTCAGGGAGCGTACCACCTAGTTCTGGGTCGTGAGTTTGCTGGTTCAAGTGCAATGTCAATCATTAAACTGGGGCGGGAAGAGAGAGCAGTCACCATGTGAAGACAAAGCGAAAAGGGAGCCAAAGTGGATCCAGGTTTTGAGGGGAGGCCTTTTAAAAAATATAAAATTACAAACACAAAATTAGGTATGAAAGGGAATGTTTATTTTAGAATCAGAAAATTGCAGCAAATCTTAAAGAGATGGCAAACACCACAAACATCACAAAATTCATAAAAATGACATTTTTACTAATTAGCTGCTTGGCAAACTGCAGGTAGCAAATGCGTGAATGTATTGCATAATCTCTGATCATCTCTTCTGTGACAATTTTGAAAGAGAATTTTTATAAGATTTAAAGCTAATTCACTCTTTGAAAGTTAATTGAAAAGATAACTCAGTCTTTTCTTTAATATGGTTGATACTTTCGTACAGTTCATATTTTTAGACGTTCCTCTTACCTTCAAAACTAGTTATCAGTAATGTCATACAAATTTGCAGGATTATTGTCAAATTTGAGGAAAACCCTATTAAGCATTCTTTTGAATATGAGCTGTAAGAGTTGGGGGCATTTCCAGTTTTCTTATGTGGTGACTAAACTTTGATTCTTCGAATGGATAACACTCATTAACCAGGATGTCCATGATGTCCCATGAATTGTAGGGTGGTCCTCAGAAGGATTTCTAGAAGTTATTCCTATAGCAAGACAGCTGGCAATAACTGTATGTAGAAGTAACTGCAAACCTTATAAACATATCCCATTATACCCAAACTAAATGTATCCTTAGCCCAACCTCCCCTTAGTCGAACCCTCCAAAGGCCCAGCCACCCCAGCCCCACCCAACATAAGGAGAAGTATGGTGGAGGGTAAGTCAGAATGGAAATAGACCACTTCCTAACAAATGGCCGCCCCAATGATCTTACTTTGCAAATACTACAAACATATGTGGCATTGTGAACACATTGTTAGGGTGCCTCGCAGGGCCCTGGGAGGGGCCATGCAAGTGAGAGGCCCTGAGTTAGGCTCCATGGTAAATTCAACTCTTTCCAGGAGTCAAAAGGACCCAAGAAGAGACGAGTGGCCAAGGAGGGCAGGGAGGCAGCTTGTCAGGATTTTTCAAGATAGGAAAGCAGGTACATATGCTAGGAATCTTCCTTGAAGTGGGGCATCGCAGGGCCTGTCTTGTCACAGGGTGAAGTAAATTGTCTAGAGAGCCAGTTGCCCTAGAGGGTTTGTGAAGAGGCCCCAGGAGGAATGTGCATGTATGGGGTGATCACAGAGGAAGCCAGCATGGGTCTGAAGGATGTTTATTTCCTTCTTCACACCAATAAGCTGGTATGATTTTTTTTCTTAAAAGATTTTTATTGGGGAATTGGGCAAAGGGAAACAGAGAAGTTGCTGTCCTTTTGTTCTTCAGTCTAGTTGTGGAGGACGTTGCTTCACTGGCCCAAGTTGGCACCATCATTGCGCTCTTCCCGGGTGAGGCAGATCAGTTGCCGGCTTCTGGACAGCTGCTTACTGCGGCTGCTGGCCGCTCACGCTGGCTGCTGGCTACACATGGTAGCCCATGGCAACCCACTACCGCAGGGGCTGCAGCCTACGCCGTCGCCGGCGACTCATGGCAGCTCAGCTCCAGGTCGAGCTGTTGTTCAGCATCTTAGCTGTAGAGGGCAGTGTCACTGGCACTCATATGTGGGATCCAAACCGGAGCCCTCTGGCGTCCCAAGCCAGCTCTTAACCAATGTGCCACTTGGCCGGCCCTGGTTTTATTGATTTTTGACCCCCACAAATGGTTTCTCTGATCTCCTCCCTTTGCCACTTTGCTCCCCTAAATTCCTTTACCAAAGGCCAAAACCCTGGGTTTCACTTTTAGAGGAACCGCTAGAAAAGCAAATTCCTGGCCTCCCCCAAGGGAATATGCAGTGATTTTATTCTCCACACTCACCAATGTATCTGGAAGGTTTTAGGAGAGCAAAGGGAGGGAGGCCGGAGAATGCAAGAGCCCTGGACGCTTAGAGGGAGGAGGAAAAGGATCGTTAAGTGGTGGGCGTGGGCCCCCAAAATACAGTCTGCCTTCTTCACAATTTTCCACCACCTCACTTGGTAGGTCCTGCTCACCTTTCACAGATGGTTCCACAGAAGAGGGGTGATCTTTGCTTCACTGTTTATGACAAAGCAAACTTTTTGAATGTGGTTTTTAAAACTGTAATCCATGCAACAGTTGATGTGTGAGCCTGTATTTTGTACATTTTCACAGCTGTATAGTATTCCAGGGTATTTGTAGAGGTGGTTTGTGGAGAGGCACTGGATATTCTTTCATTAGATTTATTTCTAGCTGTCTGTTATGTAATAAGAATTTGGCTGGTCTTTATTCCCAATTCCTGGGAGGGAGCCTTGAAACCCTTGGAATTTCCTGAGTAATAGGAATGTATTTACTATTCAGCATGGGCCCCTAGATGGTTCAGGATGGGTCTGGCCATGCCCCAAAGAACAAACATGTGATTAGAGCATTGGGGGGCTGGAAATTGAGTTCATTGGAGTGGTCAATTATTCAGTTAACCATGCCTACAAAATGAAACCCCAATAAAAACTCTGGACACTGAAGGTTGAGTGAGGGTCCCTGGTTGGTGATACACATCAATATGCTGAGAGGATAGCAAAGAAATCTCACATTTGGGACCCTCCAAGACCTTGTCTAAAGGGTCTTTTCTTTTGGCTAGTCATGATTTGTATCCTTTATAACAACAATGCAGTCTTGAGCATGGGGCTTTCCTGAGTTCTATGAATTGTTCAAGTGAGGGGGGTATGGGAACTCCCAGATTTGTAGCCAGTTGGTCAAACATGCAGGTGGCCTGAGAACTCCTGAGTTTGTGGCTGATGACCCCAGTGAGGGCAATCCTGTGAGGGGAATGCCCTAGACCTGTGAAGTTTGTCCTAACTCCCAATCAGAGCTGAATTGCCAAATGACCAAATATTGTTTGGTTGCTACTATAAATGATACATTATTTAAAATTATGTTTTCATCCAGTGTACGGAAATGAAATTGATTTTTGTATATTGATCTTATATTTGGCAATACTACTAAAGTCTTTTTATTAAATATATTGACTTGCCTATAGATTGAGGTTTTATTTAGACAATTAAATCATCTGTGAAAAATAATAATTTTGTGTTATTTTGTTTGCAATGAACAGATGTGACAGTGGTAGGCAACCTGAGTGTTTTCCTAGTTTTAAAGAAAAAGCTTTTAACACTTCATTGTTACGAAATGTATAACATTGTTGAAGATTTTTGGTAGATGAAGGAAGTTCATTTATTCCTAGTTAATATGAGTTTTTATCATTCACAGGTATGGAATTTTCTAGAATGTTTTTTGGCATCTATCGAGATGATCATGTGGTCTTTCTCTTTCTCCTTTAATATGTTTCTGGTAAATCAAAACAATAGGCTTTCTAATGTTAAACCAACTTTACATTTTGGGATGAGTTCAGCTTTGACATGATATATATTTTTTATATTGCTGAGTTCAGTTTATTCAGGATTTTTGTAACTATGTTCATAAGTGCAATGGGTGTATAATTTCCTTTCCTATATTATTCTTGTCTGGTTTTGGTAGGAAGATTATAATGTAAGGGGGTATTCCTTCTTTTTCTCTTCTCTATAAGAATTTGATAAGATCACAATTATTTGCTATTAAAAGTTTGGTTGAGGGCCGGCCGAGTGGCGCGATGGTTAAGAGCTGGCTTGGGACGCCAGAGGGCCCCGGTTGGGATCCCACATGAGGGCCAGTGACACTGCCCTCCACAGCTAAGGTGCTGAACAACAGCTCAACCTGGAGCTGGGCTGCTGTGAGTCGCCGGCGACGGCGTAGGCTGCAGCCCCTGTTACAGTGGGTTGCCATGGGCTACTGTGTGTAGCCAGCAGCCAGCATGAGTGGCCAGAAGCTGGCGACTGATCTGCCTCACCCGGGAAGAGCGCAATGATGGTGCCAACTTGGGCCAGTGAAGCAACGTCCTCCACAACTAGACTGAAGAGCAAAAGGACAGCAACTTGTCTGTTCCCCTTTCCCCAATTCCCCAGCACTGTTCCCATCCTCCAATTCCAATAAAAATCTTAAAAAAAAAAAAAAAAAGTTTGGTTGAACTTGCCTGTAAAACTATTGGCTTTGAGGTTTTCTTTGGAAGATTTTAAATTACTGATTCTGTTTCTTTAATAGTTATGACATTATTCAGGTGTTCCTTTTCTTTTTGACTCACATTTACTAAAATTAATTTTTTCTAAGAATTTATTCACTTCATATAATTAACCAATAAAATGTGAGTACATATTTATTTTGCATATTATTTAACAAATATATATTTATGATTTGTTTATATATATTTTTTACCAATGAACATTTATGGTCATAGGGTTCATAGTATTCTCTTAGTTTTGAACCTCTGCTGCATCTGTGCTTATGTTCCTTGATAATGCAGGGCTGTGTGAATGGCTGTGGAAGGCTGACACGCTGAAGCTTAATAAGTCATTGCCTGATTTGATTTTATTTCATGTTGATCAGAAATACACTACAAATAGGAGTGTTTGGGGCAAGGTCCCAGAAATGTAATCTGGACCATGACTGGGTTTCTTCTTTCATTTCTTCAGGGGAATAAAATCCATGTTCAATCGTCATTTTGAGTCCCAGGAGTAAAGGGTGTTATTGCAGTGTAGGGAGCTGATTTCTGTACTCTTATTACGGTTTAGTATTGTTTAGAGTGACAAGGTAATGTGGGTGATCTCCTTTACTTGAAGTGAGTAAAGAGGACGTGACAAGTTCCTCCCACAAGGCAGCTCTGGGAAACTGTCCACTGGGCAGGACCACTAGCCCCTGTAAGTGTAGGCTGTCTGGCCCTACGGGGCTTTGTGCTGAGGGTTTAGGACTAAGACGATATGAACGACTCAAGCCTGTGAAGCAGCCCAGCTAATCAGGGGACCCTTGGGGACTCTTGGGATGACTGAGAATGGCTTTGTACTTGGAGGGCCCAAGGCCCAGAGGTGACTGATGCCCTCCTGCTTCCTTAAGTTCCTCTCTGGGGACCAGATGACAACCTACTCCCTTTTCTCCCCCCATTCAGACATATCCGCAGAGGCTGTGGATCTGATCTGTTTTCTCCTCTAAAAGAGACACAGGAGGTCATTTCGATCAAGTCTCTCATTTGCAGAAGAGGAACTCCTTATCACCATCAGCATCATCAATTACAGCAGTGATTACTGAGCACATACTCTATGCCTGCCAAGCACTGTATTAATACTTTACATAAAGAACCTTAATGAATACTTCACAATAGCCCCATTAAATTACTATAGAGAATATCTACTGGGCTTCTCCTACATTCCAGCCACTTTTCTGAGTGCTGGGACAGAGCAGTGAACAAAGCTGGTAAGGTCCCACCCTGTGGTGTCCACGTTACTTCTGTAGTGCAGGCAGTTTTCCTCCTATTTTACAGAGGAGTAAAGGAAGGCTTAGACAAAGATACGGTGACACAGCTAGCGAATTGCTGATGCTGTGAATAAACCCAGGTCTTGTTCTGAAGTTATACTCTGGTTTACGTCAGCAACTCTCACATCAGAATCACCTGGAGAGCTTGTTAGAACGCAGATGGCTGAGCCCCACCCTCAGAGTTTCCCATTCCCTAAGTCTGGGGTGGGGCCAGAGAACTTGCATGTCTAATAAGTTCCCAGGTGACAATGCTGGTCTGGGGACCACACTTTGAGAGCTGCTACTCTGTGTACAGAACCAAGTGTCTGAGCCTTGAATAAGGAGAGTGCTTCTTTCATATCTACCTCCTTCTCTCCTTACCAGGGCTGTCCCCCATGTGTGTGTAAGGGACCCCACCCCAGGCCGACTCCCTGCACGACCCTAAGACTCCCCACCCCCACCAGCCAGCACTGGTGTGCGCTGCCATCACCATCTGTGTCTATGTGTATAATTACCTGCATTATCCAGGTTCTCACTTACAATCCATGTAAACAAGGTGCACTGCTAGGAAGGGTGTTCCTGCACCTGGTTTCTCAGACTGTGTTGTGGATAACACACAGAATTCACACCGGCAGGGGCTGGCTGCCTTGGCTCTCAGCTCGATGAGGAGGTTCTCCGGATCCAGAAAAGATACAGTGTGGAAGCACACAGCCCTTCAGGGTGATCTGCAGGTTCTGCTGAATGACTCCTGCATCTCCCCAGGGACGCCCACACTACTGTGCCTGAAGCAGCCCCTCTGGTTGGATGGAGGGATTCAAGGTCAGGGAGCATCGTCCCATAATGCTCTCTTGGCTCTAGGGTCTGAGCCTCATCCCCCCTCACGGCAGAACCTCCTTGTCTGTTGTATTCCCCACCCTTCTTTGCTTGGTGGGTCCACGGGGACAGGGAAGCTCTTTAGAGGCCCTTAAGACAGGTACCATCACGGTGCTCCTCTCCCAGAGGTAATTCAAAGAAAACTCATATGAACTATAAAATAAGAGCAAGGATGTCTGTTTTGGGTTGAATTGTGTTTTCCAAACTTCATCTGTTGGAGTCCTAACCCCCTGGACCTCAGAATGTGCCTTATTTGGAAATAGGGTTGTTGCAGAGATAAAAAGTTAAGATGAGGTCATTTAGGGTGGTCCTTAATCCAGTATGACTGGTGTTCTTATAAAAAGGGGAGATTTGGTTGGGCCGGCCGAGTGGCTCAGTTGGTTAAGAGCTCGCTCAAGAGTTTGAGCTCTGAGCAACAGCAGTTCGAGTCCAGCCCGAGCTGAGCAGCCGCTTAGCTGCCAACAGGTAGCAGGATGGCTCAGCTAAAAAAAAAAAAAAAAAAAAAAGGGGAGATTTGCACACAGTCACGCACACGGGGACAACACCATGTGAAGATGAAGGCACAGATAGGGGTGATGCTTCTACAAGCCAAGGAACGCCAAAAATGGCCAGCAAGCCACCAGAAGCGAGGAGGGCAGCATGGGATAGATTCTCCCTCACAACACTCAGAAGAAACGAAACCTGGTGACGTCTTGATCTTGGACTTCCAGTCTCCAGAATTGTAAGACAGTAGGTTTCTGTTCTTTAAGCTACTCAGCTTGTGGTGCAGCCCTAGTAAGCAAATACAAAGACCAACAGAACTCTAATTTTCTGCCCACCATGATCACTTTGATTTTTTTTATAGTAAAATCAAATTCTTTACAAACTTGTGGGTGTCCCTGCTCTGCAGGTGCCCTGACTCTTGGGTGCTCCAGCACTGGGGTATGCAGTGCACTGAAACACTTTTGGGTTTTAGGCAGGAAGATCTGGCTCTGGTCTCACCCAGTCCAACTAAGATTCCTTGAAGGATGCGTATCTGTGTTGAGACCATGAGTTTTGGACCTGGGGTTCAATCAACTTACTTGCTGGTGACTTAAAGCTACTTTCCTAATCTCTCTGAGCCTCAGGTTCCTCATCTGCAAAACAGACATAATATTCCGGAAGGTTGCTGTCAGGATTAAACAGAAAACGAACGAGAAGCACCCCACCCTGAATAGATGCTACTTTGCCCCTCCCCTTTCTCAGTCTCTGTTTTCATGGAGACTTGAATGGTTCCCTTTGGCTTGTTATAGTATGACCAAACTCACCAGCCTCATTTCTCAGGTTTTTCCTGTTTTCCTCTCTCTGCCAGCCTTCTCACTCTCTTCTTTTCTGGGGTCACACTCCACTGTGTATGTCCACCACCTTTGCCCTCACCTGGGATGCCTTGTCCCTCCTTTCCTAGCTATTGGGTTGTAGGAAAAGTCATGACGCATGTTTGCGACAGATAGCGCTAGTCCATTTTTGGAAGTACTAGAGTCATTCGCATCATGTTATTGCTATGTCATTAGACAGCTGACAGTTCTAGTTTTATCCTAAAAAAAATTGAGCTATTTGGTTGAGTTTTGGAGATTTTACAATAAGTTGAAGATGGAAGACCAAGCTGTGCATTTTTGCCATATTTTACTATTTTACTTCCATAAAGGGAAGAATGCACGTCAAGCTTGTGAAAAGTTGCATACAGTTTACGGTGACAATGCTCTACAAGAACATCAGTGCCAAGGATGGTTCACGAAATTCCATGCTGGTGATTTTGATCTCAACAATGCTCCTCCGTCAGGGAGGCCCACTGAGGTTGATGATGACAAAGTAAAGGCATTGATCGAGTCAAACCTACGTTACACGACACGAAAGATTGCAGAAACATTGAACACCCATCATTCAAATGTTCATGACCACCCAAAGAAGCTGGGATACATAAGCAAGCTTGATATTTGAGTTCTGCATGAACTCAAAGAAGTTCATTTGACAGCGCATATAGACATCTGCAATATGCTCATTAAACATGAGGAAAATGATCCTTTTTTGAAGCGACTGATAATTGGTGATGAGAAGCGGATTGTTGACAACAGTGTGGTGCGCAAACGGTCTGGTCCCGACATGATGATTCTCCTCAAACGACATTGAAATCAGACATTCATCAGAGGAAGGTTATGCTCTCAGTGTGGTGGGATTTTAAAGGTGTCGTGTTTTTCGAGCTCCTACCAAGGAACCAAACAATCANCAATTCTCTACAAGAACGTCAGTGCCAACGATGGTTCACAAAATTCAATGCTGGTGATTTTCATCTCAATGACGCTTCTCGGTCAGGGAGGCCCACTGAGGTTGATGACGACAAAATAAAGGCATTGATTGAGTCAAACCCACGTTACACAACATGAGAGATTGCGGAAACATTGAACATCCATCATTGAAGCGTTCACGACCACCTGAAGAAGCTGGGATACGTAAGCAAGCTCAATATCTGGGTTCTACCTGAACTCAAGGAAGTTCATTTGATGGCACGTATAAACATTTGCAATATGCTCTTTAAACGTGAGGAAAAACGATCCTTTTTGGAAGCGACTGATAACTGGTGATGAGAAGTGGATTGTTGACAACAATGTGGTGCACAAATGGTTTTGATCCCGACGTGATGATTCGCCTCAAACTACATCAAAAGTAGACATTCATCAGAGGAAGGTTACGCTCTCAGTGTGGTGGGATTTTAAAGGAGTTGTGTTTTCGAGCTCCTACCAAGGAACCAAACAATCAATTCGAATGTGTACTGTTGGCAATTGGACAATTTGAACAAATCCATCATCCAGAAATGTCCAGAGCTTGTTCATTGTAAAGGAGTTGTGTTCCATCGCAACAACGCCAGACCACACACAAGTTTGATCACCCATCAAAAATTACTGGAGCTTGGATGGGATGTGTTGCCACACCCACCATACTCGCCTGACCTTGCGCCATCAGACTTCCACCTGTTTTGCTCTCTTCAAAACTCCTTGTGTGGTATAACGTTCAGTTCAGATGAGGCTGTAAATCAACACCTTGTTTAGTTTTTTGCAAATAAAGACAAGTCCTTCTATGAATGAGGAATTATGCTCACTGAAAGATGGCAAAAGGTTATCAAACAAAATGGGCAGTATATCATTGATTGATCTGTGTTCTTTCTTTTTTTTTTTTTTAGCTGCAATCTTGAGAGCTCTTAACCAACTGAGCCACTCGGCCGGCCCCATCTTTGTTCTTTATATAAATAAATGATCTTTGAAAAACATAAACAAAATACATCATGACTTTTCTGACAACCCGATATATCCCAACATCCCACAAGGCTCCCTTCATGCCCTACCTCAGGATGTCCCCTTTCCAAATAACATCTAAGTTAGAGGGAAAATGGTGCCAGAAAGGTGGAAAAGGAAAGGAAAGTGTTTGACAAAAGACCCCATCTGTATCCTTCATTCCACACTGGAGGTATATATGCCAGCTTGTCTGATTTGCTGAGATTTTAGTCTTTCCTGTGTGATCACCTGCTCCCGACAAGCAGGGAGCGGCAGAATAGTTAAACGCTGCCATTTGTCAAACACCTTGGATTCAGATCAATTTCTTTGAGTGACCAGGGGGAGTAGAATTTCCCTCTTACATTACTCAGCACAGACTTTTCACCTTCAGTAAGTGTCTGGTGATAATGACAGTGGTGACGCATTAATGACTAACATCTGGATGTCACTTTCCCACTTGGTCCTCCTGTAGCGAAGGAGGGAGCAGAGCCAGAGGCTGACAATGAGGCCAGCGGAGGCCAGATCTTCCCTGGGTGAATTAGTGGCCGTCTATCTACACAGTGTCACTGAAGCCATCTCTATGCAAATAACTCTCCCTAGGAGTGTGTTGTGGGGCCTGCTATTCCCACCTTCAGAATAAATGATATGGGGTAATATTCTGGGTGTGCAGGAGGCCACTGTTATGTTAACATTCATTCGATGAGTATTAAGTGTTCACTCAATGTGGGGGGATGCACATAGACATAAGGCCACGTTAAATGATAGGTTTATGATAGGGGTCTGTTAGATAAAGAGGACACCATGTGAAATAAGCATGCTTTTCAGTTGCGTATCATAGAAGAGTTTGGCAGCTGTCAAGTTTGCCAAAGTCCTTTATAGCAGGACTTTGAGGAAACAAGACACCAGAGGTGAGGAGGAGGGACATGATTGGCCCACGGGATAGGGATTGTAAAGGACATCAACGGCCCTGGGTTGCCTGAGGACCCCGGGGAGCACCACGGACAGTTTGAAAACGTGTGCAGTAGAACACGCACTGAACCACACGTCCTGGCGTAAGGCCCAGGTTTACAACTAACCAGTTATAGAAGCCTAGGCAGGTCTCTCTAAGCCTTAGTTTCCTCATCTGTAAAATGTGCGACAATAATGCAAGCCCTAGCTATACCACAGGATTATCGGGGGGGGGGGGCTCAAACGATCATCAAACAGTTAAGTTCATGGATGTCAAATGCTCCCCACCCAAGGCTCTATTGTCGTTCACATTACACCACAACTGGCTTCCTAAGATATACTGAATGCGGCTTACCATCCTTCTGCAGGGTCAAGCTTTTGCACATGGAGATTCTGAGTCACACACACGAAGCTCTCAGGAGCCAAAGGGAGGCAGCAACTCCCCCCCAGAGCCTGACGGCTGTGATTCTCCGTTAACTCTGCTGTCTGCCTTCATGTTGCCTCTGTCCCCTTACTTGTCAGACTATCAGCTGTCACTTCTCTCTGCTCCAAGGGTGTCTGTCTTGCCCCGTTGTGGATTTGACAACCAGATAATGAAGTTTGGTAGAATTGTGGGTAACGTGAGGGAACATTGGCTCAGGTAAAACGTAGACACTTCACGCTTGGGCTCTCTATCCACCATCTGTTTGTTTAGTAGCGTAGGATCCTTTTAACTTCCGTCTCGCCTGTGGCGCAGACACATGAGAGATTGCTGTCCTTACTCACGAGTCCAAAATATGTACCTCACTGAGGCGCCACCAGCCAGCCCTACTCAGAGCTCTCCCACCGTGGGACAGCACAGGGGACGCTGGATCAAAGCTGAGTTGATAGAAACAGTGTCGTTCCCCATATTCTCCTACCCCAGATTCTAGCTGGCTTTGGTCCTTTTGTTTTCTTTCCTCCCGCACACCCGGCTCTGTGCCACCAGTAAGGAGAAGAGTGCCCGTCTACTGAGTGCTTCCTCCTTGCTAAGTACTATGCC